CATGTGGGGTTGAGTGAGGGCTCGTTCAAAAGGGCTTGCCGAGACGAAAACACCGCGATGTCGCTGAGGTCTCTACGATTGCTTTTCCCAGAGTTATAATCAATTGAACATTTCTATTGAGATTTTGCGATAGCGAGGGCGACAACAAAAGAAAAATAAGGCTTCACTCGGGCACGCTCCTGAGTGTATGTGTGTCTGTGTTGGTGTCGGCGTCGGTGTCGGCGTCGGTATCGGTATCGGTGTCCGTATCCGTGTCCGTGTGTGTGCGTGTCCGTGTGTGTCCGTGTGTATGTGTGTGCGTGCGTGCATGCGTGCGTGTGTGTGTGCGCGCGCGCGTGTGTGTGTGTGTATGTCAACAAAGATAAGGACCTCACGATTCGTCAGTCTCGTAGTATTTAACGACTCCAAACCCTCTTTGTTGTGCGTGCGTGCGTGCGTGCGTGCGTGCGTTCGTGTGTGTGTGTGTGTGTGTGTATGCGTGTCTAACTAACCAAGACAAGACCGCTAGCGTGTCCGACCAACTAAGGTAAGACCGGGATGAGAACACTGGTGTATGTGAAGGAATAAAAACACTAATTATTTTATCAAATGTTCAAATTGATGTCCTTCGATAACTTGGCAGTGTCTTAAGCGAACGTAAAACGTATCGATAACGTTAGTTAAAAAATCGGGTGTGATTAAATTTGAAACGTTCACTATTTTTTCTCGCAGCTCTTCTAAAGTTTCGGACCTAGTCTCTCTCATAGACCTTTGTTTTCAAATACCCTCAGTAAAAGAAATATAATAGGGTCAGATCTGGTGATCTCGGTGGCCATTCTATTGTGTCTCTTCTACCAATCCATCGATCAGTGAAAACATCGTTGAGAATATTTCGAACTTCTAGAGAAAAATGAGCCGGAGCCCTATCCTGCTGAAACCAAACATTGTGGAAAGCTTCTCCAGCAATATCCTGAATAACCGGTATCACTTGGTTTCTTAGCAAATTGCAATAATTTTGAGAATTTATGCTACCTTTAATAAAAAAGGGTCCTGTAATACCATCAAGCATTATTCCGGCCCAAACGTTAACCTTCTGAGGATACTGCGTGTGATTGTCTCTCATCCAATGCGGATTTTCATTTCCCAATACCTCATATTCTGTCGATTTACAGAACCGTTTAATTCAAATGTTGCTTCGTCTTTTTTTTCAACAGTTGACTTTGAAACTGGTTCATGGTCAGGATATGTGGCATTGAATAAATCCGCTATTTCTCGATAGGACCTTATTCTGTCGCCATACCCTCTATCATTAATATAGTGATCCTTTCCGTTTCAGTTAAATGCATTTTCAAAAATGTACTAAAATGAAAAGTACTAAAGCAAAAAAGATATTTGACAAGCGCTCTCGAAAATTCATAAGCGCGAAATGAGACCGCGTAAAATAAGTTTACAAGTGAGAACTCTCTGAGGAAACATCAACTACAGCATTTCATATCTGTAAATCGACAGAATATGAGGTATTGAGCGGATGAAAATCAGCATTGGATGAAAGACAGTCACACGCAGTATCCTCAGAAGGTTAACGTTTGGGCCGGAATAATGCTTGATGGTATTACAGGACCCTTTTTTATTAAAGGTAACATAAATTCTCAAAATTATTGCAATTTGCTAAGAAACCAAGTGATACCGGTTATTCAGGATATTGCTGGAGAAGCTTTCCACAATGTTTGGTTTCAGCAGGATAGGGCTCCGGCTCATTTTTCTCTAGAAGTTCGAAATATTCTCAACGATGTTTTCACTGATCGATGGATTGGTAGAAGAGACACAATAGAATGGCCACCGAGATCACCAGATCTGACCCTATTATATTTCTTTTACTGAGGGTATTTGAAAACAAAGGTCTATGAGAGAGACTAGGTCCGAAACTTTAGAAGAGCTGCGGGAAAAAATAGTGAACGTTTCAAATTTAATCACACCCGATTTTTTAACTAACGTTATCGATACGTTTTACGTTCGCTTAAGACACTGCCAAGTTATCGAAGGACATCAATTTGAACATTTGATAAAATAATTAGTGTTTTTATTCCTTCACATACACCAGTGTTCTCATCCCGGTCTTACCTTAGTTGGTCGGACACGCGCGCGCACACGCACACACACACACACGCGCACACGCGCACACGCGCACACGCGCACACGCGCACACGCACACGCACATGCACACACACACGCACACACACGCGCACACACCACACACACACGCACATACACACACACGGCAAAGAGGGTTTGGAGTCGTTAAATACTACGAGACTGACGAATTATGGGGTCCTTATTTTTGTTAACACACGCACACACACACACATACACACACACATACTCACTCAAGAACGCGCATGCCCGCATGAAGCCTTATCTTTCTTCTGTTGTCGCCGGGCCCTCGCTATCGCAAAATCTCAATAGAAATGTTCAAATGATCATAACTCTCCGGAACTCTGCGGAAAAAATCCTCCGAGGTAGAGATCTCGACGACCGCGCGTTATTTTCATCTCGGAAAGCCCTTTCGAACGAGCCCTCACTTAACCCCACATGCCATTTGAGATTTTTTGTCACCCCTGTCCCCTCGTCCCCCGGGGGTATGCAGGTGGGTACTTTCGTGGTTAAATAATAGACTTTGTGATCCTATTGTATTCTTATAAATTTCAATCCTACATTTCAAACCATTCAAAAATTATTTAGGTGCCCGGAACTTTTGGTAGGCATTGTATATAGGGTGTCTAATTTTAAAGTTTATAGTGCTATATTTCTCAAACCGATGATTTTATTGAAAAATATTTCAAACAAAAGTTGTAGGGTTCAGAGGAGGACATCTGACGGTGATCTTGGCTTGACCTTGGATTGTCGTTTAAAGGTCACGTAAAGGTCAACTTAGAAATCCTAAATCCTAAATGGAACCCATTTCCTATTACATATTCTTCTAGCCCTTATCGAGGCGTTTTCAAAACACTACCTACTTAAGCCTGCACATTTTACTTTGGTGGGACAAAAGATTTGGACTACGTCATGCCCGATTTTATTCCAAACGAAGTTATTGATATTATTCTTGCTTTAGGAGAATGTGAACGAAATTATCGTAGAGATACGTTGGTTTATTGTTGTCGGTTTCTTCAGCGTCGATACCCGTCGGCGATGACTATTTTGAAGATAGAAAGAAGAGTTCGACGTAGACAGTTAATGCGTAAGAGACGTCGCCGGAACGTCAATGAAGATCCTGCTGGTCGCTTTGGCATATGAAACATTTCTGTTCTTGCGATGGTTAATCTTAATCCCGAAGTAAATCTTCGGGAAATGGAACGCTACTTGTGAGTTGTACGGTCAACTGGATTTTGACAGCGACGAAACATCATCCCTACCCTATCGTTGCATCAAAGTCTGAAAGAACTAGACAGGTTACGCCGTGTCGAATTTTGTCAATGGGTTTTGAGACGAATTGAGCTTGACCCGGACTTTTTCAGATATGTCCTCTTCAGTGATGAGGCAACAGCCGAGTTGCACTTGAACCGATGGAATAGTCGCTACTGGTTTATTGAAAATCCAAGGTGGATTCGGCAGATCAATCATCATCATCGGTGAAATTTGAATGTGTGGTGCGAGATCGTTGATGGAATGTTCATAGGTCCACACTTTTTTGAGGGAACGGTAAATGTTGGAAGATACCTCGACTTCTTGCAGAATAGATCGCCGATGCTTCTGCAAGATGTTCCCTTGGCCACGTGAGCAAGAATGTGGTTCCAACAAGATGGGGCACCGGCTCACAGTACTCGGGTTGAGAATCACCTCGGTGCTACTTTCCCTCACCGATAGATAGGTTGGGATGATCCAGTTTGGTGGCCACCAAGATCACCCGACCTTACTCTCCGGATTTTTATCTGTGAGGATTTTTGAAAGACACAGTATTCCGTCAACCGCCAACGACGCAGCAGGATGGATTGCATCAAAAATGCATGTCGAGCGATTCCAGCAAACGTTTTTCTGAAACTCGTCGAAAATTTCGAAAAGCGAGTTCGAGTGTGCGAGTTGTCGATAGCGGCGTTTTCGAACATCTATAATGAATAAGCCCCCCCTTACACACACACACACACACACACACGCACGCACGCACGCACGCACGCACGCACGCACGCACAAAATCGGGCCTTTTTAGGGCCATCATGATGTACAAATCCAACCGAACAACTTCCCCGCGGTGTATATCGGATAATATGAATGCCAGCGGTATGTCAACTTTGAAGCTTCATATCATAGGAATGGCTTGGGAAACGCAAAAGACAAACACAGGTAGTGTTTTGAAAATGTTTCGACAAGGGCTACAAGAATATGAATATGCAAAAAATAAGGAGTTCCATTTAGGATTTTAAAGTTGACCTTTACGTGACCTTCAAAGGATAATCCAAGGTCAAGCCAACGTCACCGTCAGATATCCCCCTCTAAACCCTACAACTGTTTGAAACATTTTCAATAAAATCATCGGTTTGCGAAATATAGCAATATGTAAACTTAGCAATATAAAATATAAAATAAATAGTAAAATATAGTAATATGTAAACTTTAAAATTGGATATCCTGTATACCCAAATTTGAGTGTTTTTTGTAAGAGCGTTTTATGTAAAAGTATTTTATAACTTCATTGTATTATAGTAATATTATTGTGACACATCAGTATAATATTACTGTGATATATTATCACAATATTACTGTAGTCTTAGATACAATGTCACCATAATATTACTGTAATGTATTTCGGCGGACATTTTAATATTACTGTGATATTATTGTAATAATGTATATTATTAATATTTCTACTATATTACGTTGTAATATTGCAATAGGGAAGTAATATTATTATGATATTGCTATAATATTACATGTTATGTAGAATATTAGTAATTAAAATATCAGATTATAAGATCAAGTATCAAGTGTAGAAATGATACAAAAAAAGTAATAAGAGTAAAAATTACCTGAATAGAAGAAACAGCATCTTTATTAACATCTTCTTCAGTAATCTTTTCGGAAGGCTTGGCACCAGCATCGATTAACAGTTTAAAGAGCTTTATATCCTGTCTGGGCCAAAGGATGCATTCAGAACTATCTACATAACAGCTTTCAATTGCAGCGTTGCTATCAATCATCCAAAGTAGCTGAAGAGTGTGGGCATCTAGAGTGTTAGTCATAACGTTCGGTATTGCACGTTGCAAATGTTGAGCTAACACACAGATCTCATCGGGATTAAGCTCAGGACCACAAAGCGTGTAATAGGCTGCCAACATGGCATGACCTTCAATGGCCGTACAAAGATATTTTTGAGTACAATGCTTAACATCCAGTAACCATTCAGCAAAACTGTGGTGGAAAAATATTAATGCGCCGGTACGAGAGACGGATATTACTCTGCGCAGAAGATAGAGTCGACGATTAAAGTCCTCCATAGTCATATCGATGCAAGCAGTCTTTACGCTTTTATAAAGTATATCCCGTGTGATAGATAATTTAGCAGCAAGCATGACATTCAGAAGAGGCTGAACTTTAAGGAATTGCTTCCTACTGAAAAGTCGTTGACAAAGCCAGAGATATAGGCCATTTAGAGTTCCTGGAATCTCACGTATCTCACGTAAGACAATAAAGTTCTCAGCAACACCATCAAGAACTTTCTCAAGATACAAAAAGCAGCCGTTACTCTTTATATGCAGTTGATTCAACATTTCAGCGGTATCACGTGAGATGTGTTGCCTGAAAATTATTATTAAAAATTAACGTAAAACAATTACTCGTGATAAGTCATAATGTTAATTGACTTTATGACTGAAGTACATGATAAATCATCTAATTTGATTAAATTTTATACAGGGTGTAACAAAAAGATCGGAACACTCGGTTATTTCGGGAACGTGATGTTTTACAAAAAAATGTTTCGTATAAAAATTGTAGGGCTTCAAAGAATCTATTTACTAAATGCTATAAATTTGACCTTGAAATGACCTTGAAAACCCTAGTCAAGATCAATATAAAAATCTTAAACGGAAACCCCTAATTTTTTTACACCTTTTTATACCAATTAATTTAAACAACTTTTGTCTAAAACATTTTTTTATTTGTCTAATATTTCTTGAGATATTTAAGGAAAACTTGATAACTTTTTCAATATTTAACTTACGATATCTCGCTATTTATCAGGAAAAAGTGATACTATATTTTCTTGCTTTATTTAGTCTCAAGAATATATTGTTACAATAGCACCCTGATTTTTGTTAATCTGATTTTGAAGTTTCCAAAAATCAGTAAGATAACAAAAGTCAAGACGCTATTGTAACAATATATTCTTGAGACTAAATAAAGCAAGAAAGTCTAGTACCACTTTTTCTTCCAACAAATAGTTAACGAGATATCGTAAGTTAAATATTGAGAAAGTTATCAAGTTTTCCTTAAAAATCTCAAAAAATATTAAACAAATAAAAAATTGTTTTAGAAAGAAGTTGTTCGAATTAATTGGTAGAAAAAAATGGTGTAATAAAAAATTGAGTTTTCCATTTAATATTTTTATATTGATCTTGACTGGGCTTTTTAAAGTTATCCCAAGTCATCAAATTCATAACGACAGTAAACAGATCCTTTGTAGCCCTATAACTTTTGTATGAAACATTTTTTTGTAAAACGTCACGTTTCCGAAATAATCGAGTGTCCTTTTTATTACATCTTGTATATCCGTTATTGGTGAACTGATATATATTTTTATTTTTCATAATAAGTCAGTAAGAAATTCACATACGCACATACATATATACACACGCGCGTGCGCGCATATAGATAAATATGTATACACATATTCTTATAGACTTGAAACATTCTATATTAGAGTTTCTGTTTATAAGTGTGCTTATATATATACAGAGTGTCCCATAATGCACGACTTTCCTCTAGAGTTGTGAAAGAAAGTGAAATTCTGAGTTGAAAGTTCCTCTTCCATTTTTTCCTTCGACCATTAATAACAAAGTTATTAACAAGAAAAATCGATCAATGGCGTAGTATACACGACTATGATGCAGTACTGTACATTGGCGCGGGATTCCGCTCTGCGCTGGCACCGATATTTGTTTTTATCCGATGATATCAAATGGTTCATTTATCATCTATTTGATAAGCTAATTGATTAATATTAATATTAATAATAATTAATATTGAAATATACATCACTTTTTCTTTTGTCTTCGATGTTCGTTGTTTATGTTTTAAATCTCATTGCGTTTAGGATTGAAGAATGGCAGTTAAAGAGTATCTCGTGTAAAAAATAATTACAACTCTGTCAGCCGTTTCATAATCCGCAAGGCATCAAAGATTAATAAACATGGGAAAAGCAATTTATTGATGAATTAATACGTTGCAGAAAAGTATATGGAACACACATTACGTAGTTTCTGCGAATAACATTTTGAACTGGCGCTCTAAAAAATCGGTCTTTTTTAAGACCACTGAAAAACCATTGACCCTTTTCATTCAAAATAACTAAAAATTGACTAAAATTTCCATTTTTTAATTTGTTTTCAAATGCATTTTTATGTTGTTTATTAAAAATGATGATTAATCAATTAACTTATCAAATGGATTATAAATGAGCTATTTAATATCATCAGATAAAAACAAATTTCTGCGCCAGCCCAGGTCGGAACCCCGCGCCAATATATAGTATTGCGCCATAGTCATGTATGCCACGCCATTGATCGATTTTTCTTGTTAATAACTTTGTTATTAATGATCGAAGAAAAAAATGGAAGAGGAACTTTTAACTCAGAATTTCACTCTTTTCCACATCCTCGAAGGAAAGTCATGTATTATCTGATACCTTATACAGGGTGTCCCATTTTAATGTCCCACTCCAAATAACTCTTCAGTATTGAAGTTTCAAGGAAAATAATCTCAATAAAAGTTGTAGGGATTTAAGTGAGCTTCCTTATGATGACCTTAACTTTGACCTTGACCTCTATTTTCAAGGTCAACTTACGTTTTTTAAATGGGAATCCTTATTTTTTATTACACTGTTTTTCTACTAGTTAATTTGAACAACTTTTGTCTAAAACATTTTTTTATTTATCTAATATTTTTTGAGATATTTGAGGAAAACTTGATAACTTTTTTAATATTTAACTTACGATATCTTGCTAACTATTTGTCAGAAGAAAAAGTATAAGACTTTCTTGCTTTATTTTGTCTCAAGAATATATTGTTACAATAGCACCATGATTTTTGTTAATCTGATTTTGAAGTTTCCAAAAATCAGTAAGATAACAAAAGTCAAGGCGCTATTGTAACAATATATTCTTGAGACTAAATAAAGCAAGAAAGTCTAGTACCACTTTTTCTTCCAACAAATAGTTAACGAGATATCGTAAGTTAAATATTGAAAAAGATATCAAGTTTTCCTCAAATATCTCAAAAAATATTAGACAAATAAAAAAATGTTTCAGACAAAAGTTGTTCGAATTAACTACTAGAAGAAAATAGTGTAATAAAGAATAAGGAGTCCCATTTAAAAAACGCAAGTTGACCTTCAAATGACCTTGAAAATAGAGGTCAAGGTCAAAGTCAAAGTCAACATAAGATAGCTCACTTAAATCTTTACAACTTTTATCGAGATCATTTTCCTTGAAACTTCAATACTGAAAAGTTATTTAGGGTGGGACATTAAAATGGGATACCCTGTATATGACGGAGCATAGAGAAAGGCAACCGTTGATAATGAATATTTGATTTGTATTTTGAGTTCAAGTTTACTTTGGGATCCCTTGGGGATCACTTGGGGGGCCATAACGAGACAAGTGTCAGTTTGTTTTGACAATTAAACGAGTGGAGCGAGAACGCAAGAAAGGGAGAAGGATGTTTTATTGACGTCGGAGAGACGAAGCCAGACGGAACAGCTGGAGATGGAATGCAGGCTGATCCCCCCAGCTTCCCTACTCCGGCTCATCTGGTAAACAAATAACACTCCGTAGAGGTTTTAGCCGGTAAGAATCCGGCATAACCCTCGCCCCTCTTCAAAGGGGCGGGGGGTACCCATGAGGATTTCCCCTCATGAATAAAAAAATAGTACATTAGTGAATAAAAAAACAATATATGGATCTATCAAGTATATTCCGAATAAAGGATATTTTGGAAACGAACGAACGTTTTTCTTCAAAACTCAGTGTAGCCGGTATAAAACATGCCGGACGAGTATAACGGTTCTGGTATGGAGTAGAGTGAATCTCCGACATATACAGGGTATATAAAAAATACCGGGAGGATGAAATATCACAAAAACTAAGCATTTAAAAAAAATGTTTCAAATAAAAATTGTAGGGTTTCAAAAGATCTATTTACTGATATTATGAGTTTAACCTTCGGTGGCGTCGCCAAGATCAGGACAAGGTCACCTTGAATTTTTTAAACGGAACCCCCTATCTTTTACTGCATATTCTTATAGCCCTTCATCAGACCTTTTCAAAGCACTATAATTTTTTCTATTTTGAGTAAGCCATTTCGAAGTTATCGAATTTTTTATGATAAGATGTCCAGCCAACCAAGGTAATATCAAAGGAATATCCTGCCAGCTAAAGCAAGATAAAAAAAGTATCCAGCCAGCCAAGGTAAGGTCGAAGAAGTATCCAGCCAGCTAACAGAAGATGATCATAAAGGAAAACTAGCATTTGAAAGCGCGATTAATATCAAATGCTCAAATTGTTCACCATTCATTGTTTGACAACGCGCTAATCGATGATAAAAATTAGAAACAGCATCTTCTATATATTCATTAGGTATAAGTGCCGCTTCATCAAGAATCCGATTTCGTAGGTCATTTAGATTCCGAGGTTTAACTTTGTATACTTGATTTTTTAGATAACCGCAGAGAAAGTAGTCGAGAGATGTGAAATCCGGTGACCGAGCTCGCCACTCGATCGTGCTTCTCCTCTCTATCCACCATTCAGGAAAAATTGTGTCTAAATAAATACGAACGTTACATCCATAATGCGGTGGTGTACATTCTGTTGAAACCACACCTGTTGAAAGTTTTCACTAACGATCGCGTTGACTGCAGAGACGATTTGACTTCTCAGCATATCTTCTTATGATCAAGTTACCTTCAATAAAGAATGGTCCTATCATCTGTTATTTAATATTCTTGCCTAAATGTTCAATTTCTGTGGATATTGCGTATTGTGTTCCCACGTCTAGTAAGGGTTCATATATAACCATAATCTGCAATTAAGTCTATTAACAACACCGTTTAATTGAAACGTTGCTTCATCTGAAAAGACTATGTTAGATAAAAAGTCAGGTTCTGCATCTATTTGTGCTATCATAGTCTCACAGAAGTGAACACGTCGATCAAAATCGTCTTCGTTTAGCTCATGAATAAGTCGTATTTTGTAAGGGCGAAATTTATTCCTTTTTAATATCTTATGCACAGACTTTATATGCATAGAATTTATCTCATGTTCTTGAGCAGTTCTGCGGACAGAAGTTTGTGGATTCTCTACGAATGATTGTAAAACATCCAGTGTCTTTTTTCCATTTGTTGCTACGGCAAGCTTTCCTATTAGGTTGTTGCAGATGAAATGGCCGTTTTTCAAAATTCAAATTTCCCGGCCGAGTAGTTAAGCTCTTTTCATGCAGCGTCGTTGCATACGTGATATTTGAAAAGTATATGCCCCACACGTAAATTCGCACGCATAACCTTACTTTTATCACTTTGTTTATAT